AAAATCGAGGATCAACCGCGGCACCTATGAATCCCGCGCGGGATTTTTGGAAAAACCGCGATTTGCCCATCTCTAGTCACAGGACCGCCAGATTTTTGCGCCATCTAGTGATGCAAAACAGCTCGATCTACTTGTATATTCAGTATAAAAACCGATTAATCAATAGAGCAGATCAGCCGATTTGTATCTCTAGCGCCATCACTATTTTATTCTTATCGTTCATTTCAAAACATTCGGTTTATCAAATCTTCCGTATTATAATCCATATTTCCAAGTCAATTATGGTTTTTTTTACAATACTGCTATTTGTTGACACATTAACTCGCAATTGACTATCGGAGAAAATAATTTAATGAAGATGATACTTCTGTCATATTAATGAAATAAGTTTGATGTATTCGAATTCAAAGATTTATTATTCTAACAATCACGTTATTAACTTTGAAACCACTAGTTAGGATTACGAAGAATAAGTTTCACAAAAGATAACTTAAATTGCCGAGCTTAATTGGCTTAAACGTTCAAACATACCTCTCATCTAATTTCCGAATTACTTCGCGGATTATCAAATTACTTTGACAGTTTATTAAGTAAAACATAAACTTTCTAATTTTTTCTTACCCCTAGGAACTTATATTCGTGTCTTGGAATTCAATCTTTGTGACAGAGAATCGTTAATAAGATTTTATTATAATATGATCTTCAAAAATCAACAATCATAATAAAGCCTGTTATGCTTCGCTACCCCATTATCGTGCAACCTGATCTTAAATATGTTACTTTGAAGTCATCCTTGTTAGAACTCAGGTTGAGATATATCATTATATATAAGTTTCTATGCTTAATAAGGTGCGACAAATGTAATATAAATGAGTTAAACGAGCTATCGATATATTTTAGAATTTAGCATTATTTGATTGATATGTAATTTAGTAACTAAAATATCCAAATTCGGAAAACTTAGGAAAACTTAGGATTTGGTGTCTGAATTGTAGCTTAATCCTTCTTACAAGTGTGTTATGATGTAATGAATCTAGTGAAATAAAATTAAATTGCTTTGACAAAACGACTTAATGATTTTATGATTGTAAAATGTTTTTTATTAATTTTAAAATAAAAAAATTGTTGATCGCGTTTGAAGCGATCGGGCACGTTAAATAGGATAGCGATGCGTCTCCATGGCGTAAATTACAAACCCTTTTTAAAAAAAATTATTTATTCCCTTCACTAAATTGAATAACCGCATATTTCCCAGAATACATCCAACTTTTATCAGAACCTAATTTTTTTTCAACCCCATCATCAAGTCCTACAAATACATCCGATTTTCCTGTTCTCAAAGATAACAATGGAGGAGCATTTTTCGAAGTTGCCAATGGACCGATAGCTTTTTTAAAAGGCGTAACAGTCTCCCATTTACAATCGTAAACCAACTTTCTATAATTCAAATCACCTTTAAATATAACAAGGTGAGATTTACATAAATCAGCATAAAGTTCAGGAGCCTTTTCTTCCAAATGCCAAAAAGAAAACGGACAAGTCCAAAAAAAATCCGAGGTAATAATCCATTTTGAATTAGTTATATATGATTGCCAACGATCAACAAGTTTTTCGAGAGAACGTTTTTCAATTTCAGAAGCTGATGAAAAAAAATCATTGTTTTTAAGTATTTTAAGTAACCAATTGAAATCGTCTAGTGTTGTATCCGAAACGAACCACGGAATTGGTTTTACATGTAAATAAACTTGAGATACGTATCCTGATTGGATTAACCAGTCCGAAAAAATTAAATCTCCATATAATTCAAATCCTAAGCAAATTAAAAGTTAATAAGCATGATGAAAAATTTAAAAATAAATAACAGAACATATATTTTTGTCTATGTACATATGTTGTATGTGGAAACGGGATTCGGAATTTATATATGTACACCCTAACCCTAGCCCTAATTTAACTAGGAAATTCCAAATTCACTTAAATTCCATTCCCACTTAAAACATATGTTTATATATATATACATACCAGCGTTATCTAAAATAAAATCAACTCTCGCGTTACTATGTTTCGATAACCAATTCCACGTTTTTTCCAAATCATTTACCAAAATGAATTTTTTCGACTCTTCCAATTGTTTTGACTCAATATTTTGTAATTGATTATCATTAATACCAAAATTTGGTAACATAGATAAATCAGTTGCATTTCCCCAAAGTGAAATTTGAGCAAGTTCATAAAAAATTATTCTATCATTTATTTTTAATTTTTGGGAAGAAATTAATTCATCGATACGTTTTGAAAATTCGATTATTGATGAAAAGGATACTCTAAAAGCATCTTCTTTTTGACGGAAATATGGATCATGATTTCGCCAATGTTTTGTATTTGTAATTATTGAAACTATTCGACGATATAAATAACATTCAGCGAATAACCAGGTTGCTGTAAACCAATTTTCATCTTTGAAATAAGTATTTAGGGCATCATTCCATGATGTAATATCTGGCCTTCCATCATCTTCGATCGGACTTCATAAATAATAATAATGATCGTTATTAGTAACATAGTTCCATTAAAGCAAAATAATATCCTCAAATTGGTCGAACAGATCAAATGAAAAAAAAGCAAAAATTTTGTTGAAGAGACACATACATTAATTGATCTTTTCTTTGAATTTGATTTATTAATTCTTCCATAGAGGCTATAATTTTTTTGCCTTCTTCATTCTTATCAATTTCCGAAAAATGAAGCGAATCACGAATATTGTCAATGGCTTTATTTATGATATCTTTCCACCTATGTGTTGCAGTAATATGTGCAAAAACTTCCTGGTCAGCTGCTCGAAGAGCCGGTCTTGGTGGGTTTGCAGGAGTAACTGACATTTAGAAATGTTAATACTATAATAACGACAATAACGATAGTAAAAGAAGCGATAACGATAAAAAAAAAAAAAAAAAAAAAAAAAAAAAAAAAAAGGATTGTGTAACAAATTGAAAATTATCATCATTATAGGTAATATTGGTAACATTACACAGACTTTTAGAAAACAAGAATCAAATTTAGGCGTGGGTAAAATACAAAAATAATAATGATTGACAAAAAAAACAAGGGTATTACCAATCCTAGATGTAACACGAAATCTCTTAGAATATACCTAAATAAGTACTATTAAATCTTTTTTTTAAAAAAAAAAGATGTAGTTATACGTGCCTACATAGCATCAAGGAGGGTTGCACATTGAAGATCGCTTCCATTGATCGAATAAAAGAACAAATTTTGTAGTATAAGTAAGGGATTAAATGAATATTAAGATATATACTGGTTTATCAAATTTAGATTTGGCGTCTTTAAAAAGATACGTACAAATATTGCCTGAATTGTATGAATTATACGAATATTTCAATTTGTATTAATTTAATAAAGTAGGGATAGTGAGAAAATCACTACTTAACATTGTTAGATTACCCGGGTTACCTGGATAAATCGTTATTCCTGGAGCAATACGTATTTATTTCTATATATAATCGGGTCTGTAAATTCTATCATCACTACGTATGACTACTGTATCTCTATTGGATTATCAACTCGTACATTAGAACTTCAGCCTTTACGACATTTTGTGTATTACAAGATAACTCTCATAATAGTTTCAGATGCAAGTATATTTGTGATACGTTGTAAATGATTTTTTTTTAGAAAGTTTATTCATTGATATTATTTCATTGTGTAGAACATGCAAAATTTGAAAAATTTTCATATTATACACAGATGTGAATGAATCTAACTTTGGTATAGATAGATTTAATAAGGAAAGGTTCCTTGTATCTCAATAATAACATGTGTTAGGAACAGAATACACAGCCAATTCAGGTTATTAACATTCAAATCTGCAAAGTAGAAATCTTTAAGCGAGTCATACGTACGTACGTATAAGTTCGTAGAATTTTAAATTTTGTAATTTTTAGTCCATTGGTTCTAAATTTTCATCTATGAATTACTAATTTTTTTTTTTTTTGGGTTTTGTTGATCTAATAATACTCCCGCCCAGAATCATACATATAACTATTACTAAACAATACCGGTAAGTATTAAGTTAATTTTGACCGAGAACTAATTATCAAATTAAATACGTAAATATGGGGTACATCTTTATGCAGAACACGGCTCATCAACAAAAGGAGGTAACCCAAATTTGGCCGGCTCAAAATCACTTAAAGAAAAAATCATTTCATCTGCGCCATTTTTGCTCGGAAAAAATTCTGCAATCATTGGATCCGGTACCCAAATAACCTAATTTAAATGGTATTTTAATTTAAAATTTATTCATTTTTAAATGAATTTAAATTACTATGAGAAAAAAGCTTACTTTCATGTTTGCATTCTTTGCAGCTTTGACTCCGTTAATTGAATCCTCGAATACCAAACATTGATTTGTAGGGGGGTTACCCATCTTTTCACATGCTGCAAGAAATAAGTCCGGTGCAGGTTTACCATTCTTGACATTCGCATCATCTCCACAAGTAATACTATCAAACATATCGAATAGTTCTCTATTATTAGAAGCTTTGATATTGAAACTTTCTCGACTCGAACTCGTTGCCACCTATTTAGTTGAGTGCACTTATCATTAACTTTTGAAGTGAAGCAAAATTTTTTTTGTTCGTATAGTAATGCTTACTGCTATTGGAATTTGATGCTTTTTCAAATGTGCCACGAGTCGCTGTTTCAATGAACAAAATATTTGATTTAGGTATGATGTTTGGAAAATACATAAGTATTCTATAATTAATTTACCATAGCGCCAGGCATGGGTTTAGCGAAAGGGAATCTTTCAAACTTAATGAATAAAAAATTATTTCGTTAAAAAAATTTTCAAACTTAAAATAATTGACATTAAGAAATCTATATAGCATACATTCTTTTTATTTCGTTCCTTATTAAATTCTTCTGGCGTCATATCAATACCTGTTTCATTTATCAGAAGAACTGCAAACTGGATAAAATTTTTTAATTTTATAAAGGTAAAATTGGTTTAATAATAAAAAGTCATGACAAATTTTTACCTCATGTTGGCGAAGACCTAATGAACGTGATCTGAGTTCCAACGAGTAAGTTTTTCCAAATCTTGCTAAAATTTCGGCTGAAAAACAAATAAATAGTCATTATTCGAATCAATATTAGCGATACTATGTAATAGTATATAGATAGCATATCGACTATTACATGTTACTTCATAATAAATTTGCTCCGTGTTCTATATAAAGGTAATTAGAATTTTCAGTTTATGACCCACAAGTATTAGCATATTAAAGAGTGCGCGACTAAGTAAATTTACCAGTAGCAAACCTGCATTATTAAAAAGAACCGATCATATAAATTAAGATATATTTTTCAATGTTTGAAAATTACATATTAATGAGAAAAAAGAGATTGACCATCCATATCAAAAATACAATGAGTTATAACGGTTTCATCGGTATCAATATTCTTTTCTTCATTCGTAGTTGATTCTGCCATTTTTTTTTACCCTTTATCTAGTTTTCTAAGTACTTTAAATTTTTATGTGTATTATTTAACGTATTATTTGTATTATTTGTATTATTTGTATTATTTAGTCTAAAATTTAATTCCCATAAAGCATGTACGGTTTCCAATTTCAAAATCTATCACAATGACTTACGTAAAGAAAAAGATGGTAAATATTCTTAAAATACAAACGAGCAGGAATATCGCCTAATATACGATCTACTGTAATACAACTTACCAGCCTAATTAATCAAAGTTATTTGTTTAGGTCGTGTCGTTTCTATCATACTGTAAATTAAGAGAATCGAACTACAAATAAATGCTAATATGATAAATGCCAATAAATGTTAAGTAATTCTAGCATGTAAGAAATCCAGATGCTTTTATTAAATGCGTATTACATTTCTTTTGGTAATAGGCATTATGACTAAACATCTAATTAAATAAATATACGTATTAGTCACGTGAAAGATGTAATAGTACTAGTACTAGTATTATTGATTATGTACATTACGTAAGCACATTTGTACAACAGGCTGCTCGTAAAATTTTTTTAAACTTTAATCAAATAAATACGACATTAAAAACTTTACTTGACGAAAAGTGGTATAAAATGTATGTAAATGAAAAGTGTGATTTTGTATTATTGCATTTTATAATTACTAAATCCTCGAATAATTTTATATAATTTACGACTAATATCAGAATTTAGCTCCTGAAAGAATTCTACAAATTCATAATTAGGGTCAAATTTCGACGATTTCGATAATAATAAATTTTGTAAAATTTACTAAAGAAGTCCTCCAAACAAGTGTAATCTATTAGTAAATATATTGCGTGAAATCTTTATTAAAGCAATCAATTATAATAGAAATAATTGAGATCAATACAATAATGGAATAAGAATAAGGGAATAATGGATAAACTAAATATTGTATTGAATGTTGCACTTTGTATTTGCGAAGGTAATATATTTTATGCAGTTAACTCAAAAAACTCTTTTTAATGCTTATTAAAATTTGTTTTATTTTGAATTTTCTTTTTAGTTCAATACAAATTACAAAAACAAGAGGTTGTTTTTGTATACATTATATATATATATATATATATATATATATGAGATAATACGTTGTTAGTTAAATAGATATTGCCAAAAATTATGTAATATTTATTTTTCACAAAAATATAATAAAATTAAAAATCTGTTATTTCCAAGTCAATTAATTTTGAATCTGACGCAACGATGAATAAAAATGTTAGTTGTTTAATATTAAAAAAGTACGTGAAATGAGGGAATATATAATTAAAGTTTACCAGATGTATTTTCAACATTGAAAGCATTTTTTGCGGGAGGAAAAACTGGAAAATTAAATAATCGACTTGAATAAATGGCTTGAGGATGCGTCGTATAATTTATCTTTGATTCTAAAAATGTTGGACTATTTGGCATAGATCCTAACGATTCTTTTTTATTTTTCTCAATTTCCTCAACTTGATTCCAAAATTCTTCATATTCTTCAGTATCAAGAATTCCAAACCATTTATCAAATTGATATATCAACTCTTGAGAACTTGGTCTGTTTTCGGGTTTAGCATCCAAGCAACGTTTAAATAATTGAATAAATAATTTTGGCGTAATGCGGGCATCAATTTGAGGACGTCTACCTTGGATAATTTCAATAGCAAGTTCATTATTGTGTGGAATATTATTATAAGGTGGTAAACCAGTTGCAATTTCGTTCATTAAAATTCCGAACGAATAAACATCTGCTGATTGCGTATATTCATCTCCACGTAATACTTCAGGAGCAATGTAAGGAAGAACTCCAAATATTGATTTTTTCTTTTCATTCGAATCTTGAGTTATCGGTTTACATAATCCAAAATCTGTAATGCTTGCATCTTCAAGTTCGAACATTACTATATTTCCACCATGTAAATCTTGATGCGTCAACCCTGCATTGTGGATATGATTGAGTCCCTTAAGTATTGAATGTAAAATTTTAAACTTTTGATACCAATCCAATGAATAAAATTTATTATCCAAATATTTTCGAAGATTTCCTTCTTCAGCAAATCGCATAACCATTATAAAATCTTCGGATTTTGGATCTTTGGTTATTCCATAACATGGAATAATTCTATATCCTCCTTTTATTCCTTCTCCTAAAGAATTTATCTGGTGTTTAATCTCGTCAAAAAAACCTGCTGGTATATGTTTGGAATTATCTAAACTTTTTAAAACCACTTTTGTTTCACCAAGAAGTTCGTACCGTCTTGACCAATCTTGCTTTTCAACGTTCCATTTGTAAATATATCCATCTTTCCATGTAGCTGTCCATACCTTCCCAAATCCCCCTTTAGAAAGATACTTGACATTTGTAAATTTCTCGTACTCAATCCATTCTAATTTTTGAAAGTGGATTGATGCGTTAAGTTGAGTTTCTCTTATAAATTTGTCAATAACTTCATTTCCGCTGCTCCAACTATCAAACTGCTGTTTAAAATGTTGTGAATTACAAGGCTTGCACCATAACCAAATATCTTCGCTAGAACTTTGTTGTCCACATTCTTCACACGTATGAATCATAATTAACTAATAATGCATAAGATCTCATTAATAATTCTGTTAGGTTAAATAATATACGTAGTTCGAATATGCTCATAAAACCAAAATTTTTTTTAAACTAAATAATACTACCTTTTAGATTTCTATAATAAAAATTTTATGGTTCTCTTCATATGTACGAATGTGAAGTAGTTTGTGAAGACCTAAGTACGTACATACGTACGAAAATACTTTATTAATTTTAAAATTAAAAAAATGTATATATTGTTTATTTACGTTACTTTCTACAAAAAAGTGAACAATAGACACAATTTAATTGAGTTTACCAAGTTACTGTTTAGTTCTAATTCGGATATAGCATAGGTAGAGTTTGATTTGATTGGTTAAAAGGAAAATTATTTATTTATACGGACCTATCATAATTTTATAATAGCTTATTAAGCGTATTAAGTAAATCAATTCGATATTGAAAAAACTTTTTTTTTTATTAAAATAGATTTAAGTATCTGTTGTGACGCACTTCAATAACTATCAGGTGACCAGCATTAAATGATCATTAAATAAGTATACGATATTGGCAAAATTGCAAATGAAAATTGTCTAATATTGGTGTTAACCGGCAATTTATGATCATTAATTTGAATAAACATGATTACGTAGTAACACGTGAAAAAAATAACAAGACAGATGGCAATTCATGATCATAATCAATAATTGGCCTAAATTATATCGCTATTTTTACCCCGACCTAATCCTAACTCAGGAAACCGCAAGGGTGCATCTGAGGTACATTTTGTTACCTATAGTTTGTATCTTATTTCGTCGTTACTGAAAAAACACCCTGTTATATCTGGTAGGTGAAGAATCTAAATGAGAGAACAAATTTCAAGGGTTTAGCATTTGCTGCATATTGCCGTAATAATATGGTTTATTACATAAGTTTCTACCCGTGTATAATTTTAATACCATGGTATATACTAACTCTTTGACAATTAACGGTAATTTTGGCAAATGAAAACGTGCTGCAAACCAGCATGCGCACCCATCATTTGTCAAATTACCGTACAGTATTCGCAAATTTGCCCAATAATGATCATGGGAAGACATTTTTGTGATTGGTTAATTTTTATCGATCAACTCGTGGTTTCCCGTGATCATCAACCAATCAAATTGCATGATGTTTGGTTTAATATTACTAGGAAAACTTCATATAAAGAAGCTTACAAATTAATAAATACATGTAAAAAAATTTTATCAAATTTATTTAGAGAATATGTGGATTCACACATTAAATGTAATATTTATTACCGATAATCCTGATCCAATTAATAATCTAAAAGATAAAAACAGATACAGTATAAACTAAACTATTAATCTATTAATTTACAGCCGACAAACCCAAACACACTACAAGAACAAACCAAATATAAAAGTTAGGCTCGGATCTTATACTACTAAAGAGCTTGAACCTATTCAAATTAAGCCGTTAGCTATGAATATTTATTTAAAATTAATTTCTAATTAAAATGATAAATTTAACCACCTATAATTTATTCTTAAATTTTAAAATTAAAATTAGAAATAATATTTAAAAGAAGTTAAAATTTAGGATTAGGGTTAGAAATAGGCTAGAATAAGTTTTTTATAGTGCTGAATATTTTTACTTAGTATATTAAATAGTTATCTAATATATATTTTATATATATTATGATAAAAAATACAATATAAATACAAATTAACTCAAGTTTGTAATAAAAATTTTAACTAAAATCATAATAAAAATTATAATTATTAATTTCAATACAAGCTAAACTATATACTTTATATTACTTAATAGCAAAGTAGTTTTGTAAGCAAATTGCTATAATAAAAATTATACTAGAAAAATTATGACTATTAGTTTAATAAATCTAGCCTATATTCTGTCTTATCACAATAATATATAAGTTTGTATTATAATTTTACAATATACTATAATATTTATTATTACTTTGATTGTTTTGCTAGTAATTTTTATTAAAATTATTTTGTTATTAGTATATCAAAATTGTGAGCTTAAGATTTAGTAATAATAAATAAGTACTTATAAATTTATAAATATAATTTATGAATATAATTTGCTTTTTTAAATTCTATTAATTAGTAAATTATTATTAATATTTATAGACTAAAATTTTAATTCAGTTAGTATTTATCTAGATAATTATTAGATATTTAGATCTAAATTTATTTAGATATTTATTTATTATATATTTATTATTAATATTCAAATAATTATCTGAAAATCTATTAAATTATTTAGATATTATTAATAAACAAAAATCTGAATAAATTAAATATAATAAATAGATAATATATTTATACTTTTTTTTAAATACCATAGTTGAAATTTTATTTAATAAAATAAAAAAGAATTCTACAT